TTGGTGGTAATTTTTGTCTTCCCCTTTGTTGGGCATATCTCTTTTGTTGATAGGGTTATTGTAGTTACTGTTGAGGTGGGGGAACTTTCCATGGCGGTGGCATTTGTGGTGCTGAATAAGCATGTGGTTGGGATGACGAAGGGTTACCTTCGCTCCTCATTAATAATTGCATGATCAAGTTCATTTGAGTCTTTAACTGGTGAACCTCTTCCTTCAACTGTTTGTTTCCTCTTTTGAGTTCTTCCATGGCTTCTTGAGACTTGCTTTGAGTTTTCTTGTGAGTACCGAGAATCTTGCTTGCTAGATCACAGTTGGATAAGGGTGGAAGTGTAAATGATATGAACTTTGTGAAAATATATGAATGTGAGATATGCAAAGGCATGGATATGAAAAATATATTATTTTTTGGCTCTCGAGAAAATGTTTTCATGGAGATACAATGTGACACAGGAGTAATATGATGGTAGACATAAGGGTACCTTATACAGATTTAATGATAGATATTGTGATATCTTACGCTGACTTAGAGATTGAGACAGGCAGGAACTCCTTAAAGACGAAGATAAAAATAGACATGGATTCGATGGTATCCTACATTGTCTCAGAAATTGAGACAGGCAGGAATCCCTTAAGGATTATGGTCAATGAAGGACGACGAGGAATCCCTACAGGCTAGGGATTACGACATATACGGAAGCTCTATGAGCTAAAGATAGTAGTGGATGAAGAGGTAACCCTTGCGGGTTTAGGGATTGCAGTGGGATTTGTGAAAGCTATCCTTAGAAGGAAGGCTCCTAGTTTTGGACTATGAATATTCTACCATCCCCATAAGGTGGCTTCCTTAAGAGTATCATGAATAACACTAGAGGGAAATTCATAAGGGCCTCCCTTAAGCGGAGTCTCTTTACAGACTGAGACTTTTGTCTCTAGGTCATGAAAGGTCTCATCATGATTTTTAGGTTTAAAGACCGTACAAAGAGTCATAGGTATCATTCCAAAGTCCTACTTCCCAAGAGGATGTCTCTCGAGAGGTATTCCTTTTGCGAAATTCCACCGACTCTAGGAGAATTCCTCACATAAACTCATAGGGCTAATGTAACCCCTTGGCTAATAGACGAACCTTCTTTCTAAGCGTTTTCAAAAAAAATTATTACAAAATTTAAATCTCACCATAGATATACTAACATAAAAATATAATGAGCAGAATAAATGAATAAAAAAATAAAGCAAAATAAAGAAAAACCAAAAAAATAAAAAGAAAAAGAACCTAAAATCTAAAGGAAGCTTCTAAACCTAGGGTTGAGTCTCCAGCAGAGTTGTCAGCTGTTGCAACTGGTTTTTAAATCAGAGTCGCCACCCTTAATTTGTATCTTAAGGAAGGGAATATAAAGGAATAACCCTAATAAGTTAGAGATTCTAGGTTTGTTGACTCGGTTCTAGACGAAGGGAAGGTGTTAGGCACCCCTCATCTACCTTATTCACAAGGATACTATGGTTAGAAGCGCGATCTTTAAGAAATAGGGTTTTAATTTTTATTAGGGGAACTCGCCATAATTTTAATCGTATGCCTACGTATCCTCTTAGGAGGAATCAGAGTCTTATTTCGTAGTTCGCGGTTGGTTTGTTTTTTTATGGATTGTGCAGATATTTTAATTCCCCCCGTACTTAGTCTGAGTGTGTGAATAGCGGAGATTTTGGACCAAATGTGCAGTTAATTAAAATATGCTTCGTACTCCTTTTCGAAAATCAATGATTTGAATTAATTTAATCACGAAAATAACTTGTGATTGGTGAAGTATTTTTTAGTGCATTAATTGTAAAAAAATATCTTATTAAATGCACGGTTAAGAAAATAATTTATTGCAATAAAATAAATAATGTTTTTCATGAGTTGGAAATAAATATTTGATTTATAGTAATAAAAATATCAAAATTATAAAAATATATAAAAATAGAAAGTATAAAAATAATAAAATAATTAAAAAAAAATTAAAAATGTAGGGGTGTAAATTAGGTAGAGTAGTAAAATAGGGAGGTGTTAACAACACGGGCCTGAATTTAAATATTGAATTCAGGTCCAAAAAGGCAGGGGGTGTACGTTTGAACTGTCTAGTAAAATGAAGGGGTTTGAGCAATAGGGGGGCCAAGTCTAGATTTTGGACTGGGCCCAATAATAAGTGGAGGTATGCATTCGTGTGTGTTAGTAAAAAGACAATTGAAGAGGGTGTGGTTAGATAATAGGCCGAGCCCAATTCAAGTTTTGGGGAGTCCATGTGGACTCAGTGTGGGAGGGCGTATGAGGTTATCGTGGGCATGCAGGTTGGTACCGTGAGATGGTGATTGTATGGTCACGTTTAAAGGAATACGATAGTTATTATGGGAGACATGCACTAGATCATTAAACTTAATATATTACATTTTCTACATAATTTTGTCATTTCCCTCTTCTCTCTAATGTACGCCTTTCATCTCTTCTCTCTTAACTGAAACCCTCTTATCTCTTCTCATAAACCAAAACCCTAACCCTTTGCCAAACCTAAATCATGGCAGCACTCAATCGTCCCTCTCCCTCTCTGATACCATAATAATACGACCCACAAGCCTCAACCCCCAAAATTAAACAACAATAAAAAAACCTTGAGCTAAGCAAATTTTTGCCTCGTCGTACTCTTTTCGCTTATCTGTTCCGATTCTTGATCCTTTTTCTAACCTCGCCTTTTCCGTTTGTTTCGCAGGTGCGAGGTGAAGATGAATAGGAGGCGGAGCAGTTGAGATTGAGGATGAAGGTGGCGGTGAAGAGGAGTTGATGGCGGCAACGGTGGAAACAATTTCTTTTTACATATTTTCTTTCTGTAAATAATCTCTCCTCCTCTACTGTAAAAATCCTTTGTCTCTCATCTCTCTCCTTTTCTGTTTTGAAAATAATTTTTTATATTTTCCGTTATAGATTATAGTGTTAGTGATCCAGGGAACAATTTGATTTTGTTTGTAATAAGTTCTTATTAGAATTGATTTGTTTCTATATTAGTGCTAATCTGTTTTCTGTATTCGATTCAATTGTGTAAAGTTTCGATTTTGTTTATGTTTCTGTTCTGAGGAATCAATGTGAAAAATTGCTTTTTGTTTTGTTATTTGATTCGAACAACATGTGTTTCTCTTTTAATCCAAACAGTGTCTGTTAGCTGTTGGAGCATGTGTTTTTCTTTGATTGATTTAAACAATAACCGTTACAGCCTTGCAACAACAAAAAATGTTTTTTTGTTTGGGTTGGGCTTATGTTGCACGTTTAAGGGCTTTAGGCCTTAGTCACTGTTTTTTCAAATAGTTAAAACTAATGTAATAATAAAATTTAATACTAATCAGTAATAACTTAAGTAACACAAAATATAGTTTTAAAACAAAATTGGGCCAAAACATTTAATTGTTGGGCCTTCATGAAAAAAAAACTTGCTTATGGGCCAATCTGATCAAAACAAATACAACCCTCTTTTTGTAAAACAAATGAGTTAACCCTTAATGGGCTTAAACACACCCCTTCTTCATGAACCACAACCAATCTTAATTGACCTAAAAAAATGAATTATGTCGGCTTTTTTTCCAAAAAACATGACATGGCCCACTTGTTTCAAAAACACGTACCTCCTCCTTATTATCTATACCCGGACCCAAAATACCTTAGTGAGCCATCAAATTGTGATGGTCCACTCAAGCAACATACCCTTCTTTAACACTTAAACCCCCCTTATAAAATAATACTCAAACAAACAAATTTAAATATTGTGACTAAAAATTAGAAACACAAAAATAATATGACTATCAAATTGATAGGACAAATTTGGGGTATGACAATCGTCACATTAATCCTCTCATAAAATCATTATCAAAAACATTTTCTTTAAAAATCAGAGTTTTATAACCAAATGCCCATATAACAAACAAAATTGAAAGATAACATATGTTTTATAAAAGGTATGATGGAATGAAAATCACAGTTAACTCAGATTATCAAAAAAACACAATAATTGAGAAAGAAGAAGTTGCTTAAATAAACAATATATTAATTATCACAATAATTTTCACACCATACTCAAATTGATTTTTATTAATTAAATGATCGATCTAACAACAAACATTTATACATTCACAATTGCTAGAAATAGTATTCAAATGACTTAATCACTACCAGACATCAACTATACATAACAAATAACTATGAACAAATTTAAACGTAACAACATACAATTTTAAAGCGGGAAAAACCTAAAGCATGCAAATATATAGAAAATTTAATGAGTTTGGGAAATAGAAGATTGCATAAAGGTTTATATTATATTGTAGGGTTGGCAGAACAGACTATGTATATTATGTTTGCATGTTTAATCCGACATTTTTTCAATCGAGTCAAGATTTGGAACGTCAATCATCTATTTAAACATCCTCACTTTATTTTTTATGTGCTTTCGCATAAAGGGAATGTACATTTGCCACTCTAAGTTAAAAATAAATTATGTAATCAAATAAATTTAACTTACTATTAAGTTTACTATAACTTCATTGATAAGAAATCATGTGAAGAAAAATATATAGCTTGGTAGAATTATCATTTATTGCGAGCACACGTTTAAGAGTTCTCTTATTATGTGTGACATTCCAAATCCTTAGTCTCATTGTAAAGTAGAGGTCTCAATAAAAATATAAATATTTTTTAATTTAAAAAGAAAACTGTTATTGTAAGTCTTTTTTTCTTTCTACAAGTGTGTCATATTCATTTAAACATGTTCTAACTAAATAGGTTAATTTAAATTTTGAATTAACAAGTTATTGCCAACCATCCAGATAACACAAAGTAGTATATCAAAATTCATCACCAACATGAAAGAAAAAAAAGTGACTAAGTAAATTAATCCAATCATTCAAAAACCTGAATAGGAGATAGGTTAAACCTGAAAAAACATTTTCTTGATTATTTCAGAAAACATTGGCTGTCCTTTTCTTATGATCTAGCACCTTGTACTCATTCTACATGTTTGAGTTATATAAAAAGCATTAGCTTCTATATTGAATCCAACATTTTCATCTACATGATCATATAGCTTTCTGCATCCCGGACACCGCCCGTCTGCCTCGACGATCTTTTTGTGACAAAACAGGCATAGATGAAATCCACATGAACAAGGAAGAAATGTGGCGTCTGTCGTGTCTAAATCCTCGTAACAAATAGGACATTGACAAGGTTGAGAAATTATTGTTTGCCATGACCAAGGTACAATTTTGTGGCTACCATGCCAATTTGTATTCAACGGAGAACTATACGGCTTTTTCAGGTCGGGCAAACACCTCGGACGAAGAGTATCATCGGGTTTCCATGCTCGACAACTTATATGTGATTCAGAAACTGCTGATCTGAACTCTTTTAGCGAGTGATTGCTAGCAGCTTCTGAATTACCAGAAGACTTTATTTCATCTTGTGAAGGAGACGCTAGAACCGTGGAATGCTTGTTATTGTGTGTGTATAAAGCATCTGCCACAGTCTCCCAATCATCAAGGCATCCATCTTCCTCACTAATATTTCCCAAGGAAAAAGTACTCGTGCTACTGTTGCTGCTACCTGTAAAACCATTCCTTGACACGTCGGTTTTACTATCTATTATGAATTTACTATCCTCTCCACCTTTCCTTCTGTTTTTCTTGTATGGTGATTGATTCTCCTCGCTCGCAATGTGCTTAGATGATGGACAACTGTCAACCCTTTCATTTGAGTCAGTGTTGCTTTCCTTTTTTACTGAAACATAACAGTATATTCAACAATGAACATTAATAATGAAAAGAACTTACCAACTTTCAAAGGATTTTTAAGCAATTCATATATAATGTTTAAACCGTGTTTGAACTAATCTACAGTAACCAAATAATTGGAATCAATGATAAAACAGTCACATGAGTATAATGCTTGAAACATGAAGTTGAGAAATCATGTCTCTTCCAAGATTAATTAAGCCAATGTTAAAATATCATGTAAGTTTGAAGTGTTAAGAGTTCTACATCGAACAATATATGGCCTAAACATGTGCGTAAAAGTGGGGGCAATCTTCACCCTATAAGTCGTTTTTGTAGGGATGAGTTAGGCCTAACCGCATATACTAGGCCTCTAAATTATTATTCTTAAAATAACTCTCACAAACATTTCTAGAAATTTTAAAATATGAGACTGTTAAGAAAAAGAACCGCAAACAAAAGGTCTCTAAATTCTCTATACACATATAAACAAATAGAATTAAGACATTCAACATTCATAGTTGTGTGAAGGCAAAAATAAAAAAAAAACTTATCATTGGTTGATTGAACAAAGAAAAACATCATCAATAAGTCCAAATTTTCGAGGTAAAAATGAAGATCATAAAGTTACCTTTAGAAAGCCATTGTTCACGCCTAACATCAAACTTGATTTGCTTCAATTTAGCTGAGCCATTAATCTAAAAATTCACAATGCCATAAACCATTATATCAGAAAATGGAATAACAAATGAAACCATGAAAAAAATGAAGATTTTCCAACAAAAAAATGGATAAAGAAATAGAGAAATTGCTACCCTTTAAACCCAACAAAACAAAATGCATAGAAATAGAAAATGGGTTTGACAAAAAAATCAAATTTGTATAGTTCAAGGGTTTGAAAAATGCAAGAAAATAAAAATTGGTTAAATTGAATTGTTAATAAAATTGAAAAGGAAAAAGAGAAAATAGGAGAAAGGTTTACCCTTTTCTTCTTGGAGGAGAAAGGAGGGTCAGAAATGAAAGCAGGAGCCATTGAAAACGAGAGAGAATGTGATGAAGAAAGGAGGATAGAGAGGGAGTGGATGTTACAAATTGTTTCGTTTGATTTTCTTTTCTAAACTTTTGGAACAATACAACATTGATTTCTCTCTACGTGGCTATGCAATTACCATAATGTTTTTGTCTTCTTGATATTTTATAAGGCAAAATTATATATAATACTTTAACTTAATTTAAATTTTCAAAGGGCTTTTCAGTTTATTTTTTATATCAAGTTTTCTTAATGAAAAATATATTTAATAGCAAGTCCTATGTTATAAACTTTCCGGCTCTATAAATTCAAAATATCCGATTTATATATATATATATATATATATATATATATATATATATATATATATATATATATATATATATATATATATATATATATATATATATATATATATATATATATATATATATTAAAAGGTTATTTTCTATCCTCCACACTTTATCTCGTTTATTATGGAGAGCTTCTTTTGTCACTTTTCTAGTTTTAAAAAATTTCTTTAAAAACTTAAAAATATCATTTCAATTCTAAAATATGTAGTGTGTTTTTTACACTTTCTGATTTTAGAAATAAAAACATGTATATAATCCATGAAATATCTCTTTTTTTCTTTCACTTTTGCTTTTTTTATTTTATTTTATTCCTAAATAATCAAATTTGGATTTTTTGCATTGTCTCGTTTTGTCATCAAGTGTTCCTGAATTATGAAATAATTAAGTCATTACAATAAGTTGTTACATATTTGTTTGATTTTTTTAATTTTTATTGCATGCGTTTTTTTCTCGACTCTGGATATCATTTGAATTATAGAAATCGAGAAAGCACCACACTATAATTCTTCTTGGTCTATAAAATGAACAGGCACAGCAACATGAATTTGAATTCTAATTCAAAGTTTTTTAAAATGCTTGTTGATTATTGATTGAGTGGTTTATTATTGTCAAATTTGTTGATTAGGTTACGTTTCAGTTAATTTTTAGTTTTGGATATGTTTAATATGCAGAAAACACTCTCTATGGGCAACAAGGATTCACCACTGCCTCAAATATACATGAGTGGTAGCATAAGATTCGAGTGGATCGATTTGAAGTTGTTAAGCCCTTGCCTCAAATTCAATCTTAGGAGCCTAATCTGCAATATGGGAGGTGTATGAGGTTCAGAATGAGATATTTCTTGAAGGCCCGTCCAATAGATTAGGATCATGCTTTTACGTGAACCATAAAGCCAAGAATATCTAAGAGATAGATATGATAAGTCTCTACATTACCCATTTTCTTTTTTATTATTGTTTTATCTTATAGTTTATTTTATTAGTTTTTCTATTTTGTGATGGGCCTCTTAAATGTATAATAACAACAACAAGATCATAAATTTGAATACCCCGCACAAAAAATGGTTCATTCATATCATTCGAGACTGTGGATTGGCTAACCTTACCTCTATGGGCTTTGGCATAATTGATTGTGGCCTACTGATAACCTTTTTAAAGAGGTGACACAAAAAGACAGGAAACTTTCATCTTCTGGTTGGAAAAATGACAATAACACTTGAAGACATGTCTTGTATTTTACATTTGTCCATCCAAGAATGTCTCTTTTACCATGCTGCAATAACTAAAGCTAGAGAATCTAATGCTTGAGTTAATCGAATCTGACATGAAAGACATTAAGTGAGAAGTTTAAAAGACCAATTAGGGTCATGCGCAATTTATCTTCTTAAAAGGGTTGTTTATGAGACACTTTGAAGTTGTAAGGATAGATGATGGTAATGAGAGACAATTGTACAAGTGATATTCCACCATGATATATTTCTTTTATTTTCCGAGTTAGACCATTTTCATAAATAAGAGTTCCACCTAAACTCACATGTGTATTTGGATTATTTCAGTTATCTAGACATGGTTAATGATTATTGTAATATGGTGGAAGAACTGACTTTTGGGTTTTGAATTTTATTGCAAATGTTGCAGATAGCAAGAGCCGCCGCCGACTTTTCTTTTATCCAATAAAGAAAAGGGTGAAAAGAACAGGAAAGACCTTTGAGAATTTTTTGAGTTTGAGGGGTAAGTTATGAAAAGGGAAGGTGTTAGCACCCTTTTCATCTGTAGTTATCTATGGGCTTTTAATTGCTAGCTCACTTTTTGGAAATGCTTTGTGCTTGTGTATGTTTGAAAATATTTTGAAAATGCCTAAGTGCGGCAATTTTTTAATGATTCTCGTATCGTTGAGAATGTATACAAAATGTTCATTTTTTAAAACATTTGTGAAAGAAAGTGTTGTTTTGTGAAAAGATGTTTTGTTTTGAAATATTTGTGAGCAAGCGACTACAAGCGTTCTACCCACTCAAAAAAGTTTTGCTCTTTTCCTCCTCCTTTAGATGGTGTTACCCTACCATTAGTTAGTAGGAAGCACTATCGTTGGATGTAAGGGACAGGCGCAGGTCATCGCACAGTCATTAGAAGGCAACTTGTAGAATGCTTTAGAAATTTTCATAAGGGACTAAGATCATTTACCGAAGGCAGCATCGAGGGGTCATTGAGGGACTACGATATTTTTTAATCGAGGGTCTTTGCTAAAGCGCCCCATGTTTGAGAGACATGACTGTTTTTTATTTGAGGCAACAAGTGAGGTTCACCCTAGAGGTGCGCGTGTGCAAAGTGATTGGTTTAGTTATGTTGATCTTGAAATTAGAGTTTTTCTATCGGTTGATTTTAATTTTTCCTTACAAACCCTAATTACTAATAGTAGCACAAAAAAACATAATGTAAACCTAAGACTATTACAAGGCTTTGAGGCAGTTACATAAGGATAAAGAGTGCGGAAAAGTAAACCTACAACTATTACATCTCAGAAATAGATACATAATAAGATAAACGCGAGAAAAATAAATCTAAGCTATTTACATTCGCAGGAGCATCCTATAAAATTTATCTAGGAAAGTAAAAAGGAAAGATGAAAATAGAAAAGAAAATACAAGTAGATGAGAATCCATGAGTTTATTCAGTAAAAGTTGTGACAAATGAATTGAAGTTGAAAGCATGTTTTTGTTATTTTATGGTTTATGCTTTACAATAGTTTATGAAGGAAATATGTACAAAAATCAAGCAAGATTGTGAAAACATAGATGAGTTTGGATGTTTGAAACAAGTGTATACGTCACAATCACATTTGAAAGTCATGGAGCATAACTTTTTATTTTTGTACATGTTTCGTGTTTTAATGTGAATTTTGTTGAGAAAAGTCCTAAGAAGGATCAAGCTATCATGAAATGTTTACTCAAGTGTCAAGATATCTCATGAGAATCAAGATCTGTCATGGAAAAATCAAGTTTTGTGAGCAAGGTTGAGAAATTGATCAAGGGATCATCAAAAATATCTTTAAAACCCCTAAAAAGCGATGACTTTGATTTTATTAAAAAATAATGAAATAAAAAATATTTTTTTGATGTTTTTTAGTATTTATAAAATAGAGGTAGTGAACTAGTAGTGTGCAAAAAATCAGCTCAAAATAATTAAATTTGGTTACAAAAAGAATTAGTTGAAAATGATGAAAATAAGTGACAAAAATGAAGTTAAATGGATGAAATTATGCAAAAGGGTACCACTGTGGCTTGAACCCAGGTCCCTATAGTTATACGCGCGCATGGTTTACCACTAAGGTGGATGTTTAATCCGGTTATGAAACTCCCCCCAGCCAATATATTATAAACTTGGTTTTTGAAAATTTGAAATGGCTAGATCACCATCTTCTTCCTCTTCGTGCGCTGTATAACAACAAAACTCCATGGATGTTTTTCGAAAATCTCCATTTCTCAACCAAATTGAAAGTTGTAAAGACAAAACTTGCTTGATTTTTGAAATTTAATGCAACCATATAAATTTCAAAATCTATAGATTAAAGATTGAAAAGAATTTTGTTGGATACCAAACTGAAACCCTAATATTTCAGAAAACTCAATTCCAAAATTCTCATCACACAGTCAATTAAAATGAAATTAAAGGACATAGATAGCTTCAGTAACATGATGCCTACATTTTATCTTCAGAAAAAAATGCTAATGATTCTTGTATCAAGATTTCAAAGTTGGAGAAACTTACCTCTTGGTGAAAAATCCAATGCCCTCTACACGACTTCCAGAAGAATTGTGATGCTTGCTTTAGCTTCCTGGGACCTTAGTGAGTATGTTACAACTCTTACTTTTCCTTGAGAGTGTTTGGATTGGTCTACTCAAGTCAAGTTGCAAAGTTGGATTTTGAAAATGGTGGATGTTGATAATGGAGTTACAGTAGTAAAACAGGGGTTTATACCACTTATACATGATGTGCATGAAGTGTTTGGATGATTTGTTTGGACAAAAGTTGCAAGGTTTGAGAGTTTCAAAGAAATGGATTTTGAAAACTCAAGAAATGAGTTTTTATGGCCAATTCGGGTTTGAGAGTGTATGAGAGGTTTATAGGGCTTGTGAATTCTTGTTTTGTACTGCAAATTAACCCTATATATATATATATAGGTAAAGGTTAGAGGGATTGTGATGGTTGCAATCTGAAGATGTCAAGTTATGGCTTGGTTGGAAGTGAAATATTAAGTTATGGTTAAAATGGTGGTCTTAAGGATCAAGTATAAGTGTGCTCTGATGTTTGTTGGGTGCAGGGACGTTGCTTCTTCTCTTTAGGATGGAGTGTGATCAGAGAAAATAAATGAGGAGCTCAATGCATTGAATTTTGCAAAAAGCTTTCTTTATGTGAATGGCAATTGTACCTTTGTGCCATTAATAGAAAATTATCTTGGATAAAGATTGAATCAAGTGTATAATAGCCATAAAGCAAGTGAAATCAACTGATTATGGAGAGATTTGTGGGTTTAGAGGCCTGCAAAGTAAGATATCTAGGCATGGTTATGAGATTTAATTATATCTTCCTCAAAGAAATGACTTATAATGGTGCCTTTGTGCCATTAATGGAAAATTATCTTGGATAAAGCTTG